GATAGATAGATAGATAGATAGATAGATAGATAGATAGATAGATAGATAGATAGATAGATAGATAGATAGATAGATAGATAGATAGATAGATTGATTGATTGATTGATTGATTGATTGATTGATTGATTGATTGATTGATTGATTGATTGATCCGCTTGTGTTCTGAGAGGATTGCAAGTACCTGTTCCATCACCACAGCCTGCACTCTGGGTTCCTGAACAAGAACCTTAACCCCACACTGCTCCTCGGGCGCCACACAATGGCAGCCCTCCGCTCGCCAAGGGGATGGGTTAAATGCAGAGGTTAATTTCTCTAATGTGATATAAAGTTCAATTATTATTATATAGCTCTCAATGTAATATCAATAAAAAAAAATCTATTAGCAACTATAGCTACTTTTACAAGAAAATGCTACGGTACTATTCTTTCCACATACCGGTACATGCATTTTTTTTATTTAGAACTATTACAGCACTATAGCATTTTTGTTTGTTTGTATTTAGTTTTTTATTATTTCTGTCTGTGTTTATGTGTGACAAAGTATTTGTCACCTTATGTAAACTGTGTAAGGCCAAATTCCCAGGAAAATGGTACTACAAAGCGGACTTATTGGAACATGTGGGGACCAATGAATGATCCCCATGAGGAAAGGTTCTCTTCTTGGGTTGAAGGTTAGATTTAGGTGTGAATTGAGTATAGGTTAGGTTTAAGTTTTGGTATGTGTTAGTAAGGGGTTGGGTTAGGGCAGGGTTTTAGATATATAGCACAAGACTAAAGTAAATTGGTCATGTATTATTATTGTTCAGTCATATTTTAGTTGCATATTGTGAGATGATATGTTCATAAATAACTGTGTTAGATGGACAGATGATATCACACCATGTTGATTGCAGACTTTTGTATTGAACGGATTAGAGTGCTAGAAAACATCAAATTTTTACCGAAACAATTTGGTATACCATATTGTAAATAAAAAGCCGGTGATATTTTTGATATTTAAATCCATTTGCATAATTACAATGATTAAACTTGGCACATTGCAAAAGTCTTTTGTAGTTTTGTCAGGCTGAACAGTTTTATTTTTTACTCATCTGTTTCAAATTAATCTATATTTTAAATGGCTCTCAAACAGATTCATTCCTAATGTGTAATAATGAGATTGTTTACCTTGCTAAACTCGTTGAAGACAAAGTGATAAAATTACTGAGCCAGACAAAACAGCAGGACAACGCACGTAGAAGGTGATTCAGATATTTGATTATCTGGGTCATGACTTATAACTTTATTTCATACTTATAGGTCCAAAGGCATGCTTCACCCACTCTTTAAATAATGTCAAGATTTTCTTAGCTTGAAGAATCTGTTTGATAAAATGTTAAAGTGATGAATCACGTTTGGACTCAGCAGCAGCAGCAGGTCTCTTTATAAGCAGATGGACTCGCCCACTCAGGGAAATGTTCAAACTTCTTTTTTTTCTGAGCAATGCAAAAGGTTCATGATCTTTTATCTTATATCAGTTTTTAAATTATTTAACATCTTGTAGGTTATCATGTCTGGCAAACTTCTCCTTTTATATATTTTAATGTCGGAGTATGTCGAACCCTGCAAAGTTGTCTATTTTTTCCTGTGCATTTTAGCAGAAAATTGCAGGATTTGCTTATATATCCACAGAGCTGATATATTTTTTTAATAATATCTTTTTTGTTTGAGTTGATTCTTTTAGACAGAAAAAGACGATAGGGCATGTTTTTGGGGGGAATGATTGACATCTCATTCATATTGAGAGATTTGTAGCTTCACTGAAATTTCTAACAAAGTTTAATTAATCTCTTATCAATTATTTGTTCAGTATTTTTTTTTTATTCATTTTTAATTCAATTTTTCAATTTTTTAAAAAGAAACATTATGAAAATGATTAATTATTATAAATTTCACATCCAGGATATATACTTTTTAGATTAAATTAGCTTTGTTGTTTTGTGAATATGTAGTTGTCGCTTATTAAATGATACAATGATTTCAACAGTTGGTAACTGCAATAACTTAACAGTAAATTTATAATCCTTATTTGGCAGAAGACTTTTGTTTTGAGTTCAAGATTAAATCAGCAGGGCAATGACTTGAGAAATGCATGGAAAGGGATGTTATTATAAATTAGCAAAACAACTAATTACCTGTTTTATAATAGTTATAGTTTAACATTGCACTTATAGCACAATATATTAACTTAATTGATGAAAAGGGTATCGATTAAATGAATCGATCGATATAATATGATTCATTCATCAATATACACAATATAAAAGCCTCCGAAAAGTTTCTAAGAAAGTCCACAACATATGTCTGTACCTCTAATAAAAAAGTGTAATATTATTGTTAAGAAACAAACAAACATCTTTTTTTTATTATCTCTCCCTCCTCATATTCCTCTATCCATGGCTTCTTGCCTTTATCAATTTCTTCCTCATCAGTTACTTTATTTTTGCAAGGCAAATTTTATATGTTCATATGTAATACCAACACAGTTAATCCTGAAATGTTATCAAATCACTATAATAAATTAGCAAAACAAATAATAACTACCCTTACAGATAATGTAGGCAGCACTTTACAGTGATTTGGGTTTTCCTGTTAGGATTTCTCTCTCAGTCATACACCCTGCTCTAGTCTTAACCCTTCAGTGTTCTTTTTTTAATAAAAGCTTGGATTATTTTCCACTTCTCATCTTCAAAACAGTATTAAGCAATTCACACATCCCATAATATCACAGGATGGCTCCCCATCAGAGGTGACATCTTTCACTCTATATTTAAAGGCTGTACTCAGTTCTGCTACTCTAACTGTAAATTAAGCTGCACAACCAGTCGTTGCTTTATGAACAACACGCTTTCTAGTTAGTCTGCACCATATTCAAGGGGGAGGGGATAGAAAAGAATAATTTTCAGGTTGCTAGTATACTTCGCAACCTTCAAATAAACCCTAAACTAATCCCTTTAAGAACCATCTTTTGCCAAAACAAAAGTAAAAACTACAGCTATGATGCTTTTGTTACATCTCTAACCATTTTTAATGCCACAAAAATGAAATTGTGGCCCAAATTTGTTTGCTTGGGCTACGTCAGGTAGAGCTAAATCTTTGTAAACATCAAATTTGTTAAGCCTTGCCATAGATTCTCAACCATATCTGAATCTAGACTTTAACTGGGTTTTGCTAAAGCATAAGTTTCCAGGATTATTGTCCTGCTGGAACATAAACCGACAGTCTCTAAGAGATGAGCTGAGATATACATCAGTGCACTCCTTGTACATATAAGATTACTACAGTTCATCACTTATACAGTATGTAGAGGTGTTAGAGCAAACAAGGTTAGATTAAAATACGTCATACTTTCGCATTTCTATTTGTAAAAATTGGGATTTTATCTCCTTTTATGTCAGAACTGTTTGAGGTTTTAATATTAAAAAATGGTATAAAGGTTTGATTGAGTGTTATTTTTTATTTTTTTGCAACGCCATGCATTCAGCATTTCTGTTTGCTGAAATGTGTGATTATCTTAGTGTACATTTGTGCGTTACAGGTGTGCTGTTCAGTATCGAAGTTACGTCAACATTTTTTGCAGTCAGGAACTATTGGAGGGGCTTCTTTGCGGCCACCTTCAGTGCTTTCATATTCAGAGTGCTGGCTGTTTGGAACCAGGAGGAAGGTAAAAGAGACTCAGTATTATTAATAGATAATTAATAGATAATTAGCTTATCTATCTATTTTTTGTTACTTCACCTGTGCTGTGGACTAGGTCTATTGCACAAACGTGCAATGGTGTTCAGCCACCTTATTTTAAAAATCAGGATGACAGGTTTTCACTAACGGTTGCTCCTGACTGCTGCAGAGTGAGAACAATCTTTTTTTCCCCAGAGACCATCACTGCCCTCTTTAAGACACGTTTCCGTCTGGATTTTCCATTTGACCTTCAGGAGCTGCCGGCATTCGCCATACTTGGGTGGGTTTGTTTCACTAGAGAGACTCTGCATAAACAGTGTTTAGGTTCAGATGATATGTTTAGGTTTAATTGTGCCTTTTCTCCTACAGAATCCCTTTTATTGCTTATGTTGTGTAAAAGAGCATCGAACATTGGCTTAACTGAGGTCCACTGTTTTTTTCCTGTGTAGGCTAAACATGTCATGTTTGTCTCTTTGCAGGATTGCCTGTGGGTTTGGTGGGGCTCTGTTTGTCTACCTAAACAGACTGATTGTAGAGTGCATGAGGAAGCAGAAGACTATAAACAAGTTTTTGTTGAGAAAGTGAGTATCTGGTCCTGTTTTTTTTTTTTTTTTCTTTCAATACGTTATTATACACTGCTTAGGCTCATTATGGTGCTGCTGGAGGGGCTAAATGTTTTTCCCAATTATAAACCTTTAAAGGGCAACATCAGGTGAACAATAGAATACAAAGATAAGTCTAGCAGCCATTGCATCTGAAACACAATGACAACAAGAGCACAGACACATATCCCGGTGTTTCCTTCTTTACAAGGACTTTATTTTTTCATATCCATATGAAACATGCATCATTCATTAAACATAAAACATAAATATTGCCTAAACTTAGCCCATACTAAGGTCCTAAACATAACCCAAAAACGACGTGAGAAAATGAGGAAAATGTGCTCACTTTCCCAAATATTACCTCTAATAGACCTCTCACAGCACCATAAAACAAAAACTTACACACACAAATTACATTCAAAAAACATAGTTTAACTTTGTTTCTTATTTTTATTCTCTTATCGATATGAGAAATCCAGTGGTAAACAGCTTTTTTTTTTTTTTTTCATATTAAGCATAGTAGGGGGTGAAATGACCAAAACAGTTAGGGAGGACACACTCTAACAAAAACTGAAAAAGAAACAAAAAAATTTAATAAAACACCAAAGTAACACATCCGTTTTTTTTATTCCAAAAAATACCTTTAAACATAACTAGTCTAGGAATCCAACTGAAAGAAAGCAACAAAGAGATTATTTTATGACAATAGCAATTCTTATAAAACACATTGATAAGGTATAAAATAAAAACATATAATAATGACCCTAAGGAAAACTAAACACCACAACAAAATAGGCGATTGATAAAAACTTTACATTAAAACATAAAAAAAAAAAACATGAACAGAAAGAACAAAAATTATTAAACAAGCAGAAGAAAATAAACAAAAAATATTTCAGGACAAGCTTGAAACATAAAAATCCCTTTAAACATAGGTGTGTGAGGTTAATAATATTTTTTTCTAAATGCCACATTGCTGGTATTGTCTGTGGACCTTTCAAACCTCTGATCATAAGCCCCTGATTCTGCTTCTTTTCTCTTGTGTTGAACAATCTCCCAATCACACAGTGTGTCACAGTGATATTGCTGTTCTAGAGAAAAGCAGGTGTGTCAGTTTGGCACAGCCTCATCAGAATGTATTCATAGATCGGTGCATCATCTGCGTAAACAGCATGATGGGCACCCCCATTAATGACCCCACAGTCCGTCTCTTCCTGTTAGGCGGCTGGTGTACCCTGCCCTCGTCACCCTGCTGGTGTCCACGCTCACGTTTCCTCCCGGTTTCGGGCAGTTTATGGCTGGACAGGTGAGAAAATATGTTTGCACCTTTTGCTGACATTGTGAGATCTGCTGATTGATGTTTTAAATGAAGTGAGAACCGGTGTGAAGTTAATAAGCTGTATAACAGCTGGTATATTTGCTCAGATGGTACATGATTTTTAAACATTTCTATTGACATTCAGACCCTCTGCATAAGCTCTTGGTGTAGCAGTGGCAGTAAATTATAACTTTTTGTAGTAAAACTAAAACAGAATCCCCAGCTTCTAAAGAGTTTCATTAACATTAAATCAAATAATTAAATACCCTTTATAAACAGTGACAGTTCTAGATCAAATTTACCGTGGGGGCAGATTGGGGCCAATGGTTTTTATTTTATTTTTTTTATGGGGGCACAGAGGTTGGTTCAAAGACTTGAACAAAACAAACAAATCAGAAAGATGATAGTTTATCATTGGTTCATCGAGCCACAGGGCAGTGCAGTTCTGATGACGATAAGATGACGATAAGATGTGATCCTTTCTTATTTTGTTTTATCTTTGTTGAAGCAAACATGAAAAAGGAAGGAAGGAAGGAAGGAAGGAAGGAAGGAAGGAAGGAAGGAAGGAAGGAAG